TTATCGACGGGCTCGACGAATGTCCTGAGATTGAACTGGACAAACTTTTCAGCTACCTCCCCAAGTTTCTGCAAACCTCTCAGCTTTTCCACATCTTCTGCTCGAGCCGACCCGACCTACATACAAGATATCGAGCTAGTCTACCATCTCAACACCATCTGCCGTTACCGGTCGAGAACCACGAAATCGCACAATATATCGATAGTGCTTTGGAAGACCGTCTAACAACTGGCAGCTTGTGCTTAGGGGATCCGGCCATAATCTTGGCTATCAGGCAGGCCCTCGTAGAAGGGAGCCGTGGAATGTTGGTGTTGCCTTCTAAAGTCCAGAAACGTGCTAACGGGCATTAGGTTTCTCTGGGTTGTGTTTCAGCTTGAATCGATATGCGCCGAGCTCACGGATGAAGCAATCCTCACAGCGCTCCAATCTTTGCCCAAGGACCTTCCAGAGACTTTCGATCGTGTCCTTCGGAAACTAGCAGAGAAACGAACGACAAATCCAGCCACTTGCAGAAAGATCTTTGCGATTGTCGCTGCGGCTCAGCGGCCACTGACCTTGGATGAACTTCGTGAGGCGACGGGTGTCGTGCCAGGAGATACTGAATGGGATCCACGAAAGCTCATCAACGACATACAAATGGCCGTCAGCCAGTGCAGAAGTCTATTGCTCATCGACGAGGAAGACTCCACAGTACATTTCAGCCATCACAGCGTCAAACAATACATCGTGTCCAGTCCCCAGGACCCCTCCACTCGTCAGTTCCATGTAGAATTACCAGAGGCGGATCGGAATTTAGGTGAAGTTTGCGTCACCTACCTGAACTACAATGTCTTCAACACCACGCTCACCAGGATGGGCAATCACGCAGCTGTGCAGCCGCAAGCGATAACCACCGCCATTGTGGAGAGGGCATTTCCGCGAGCCGCAGTCAGCAAAGTTGCACTGAAACTCTTGAAAAGAGAGGGGGGCAAAGACTTTGATCTGAGCGCTCGTCTTCAAGAAGTGGGATTCAAGGAACGAAAGCGAGAAAATTATTCTTTTTTGGCATACGCAAAGTCATTTTGGTTGTTCCACACTCGGCAATTTCACACAAGAAGACCAGCCACTTATCAGTTATGGCTTGGTCTTTTATCGAAAAATGATATGATCGGACTGCTTCCTTGGGATCCCGAAGCATGGGATGGACAAAGCGAAAGAGTCTTGCAGTGGGCGGTGGAAAATGAACATGGTGCTCTCATCTACGAGATAACTTCAAACTTGTGTAAGTCAAATGCAGGCCTACCACTCAGGACATTGCAGCTGCTCATCGGAGTGGAAACGAAACATCTGCAACTGTACCCTGATATTCACAGATGCACCGCCCAGGTATTGGCCAAATATTGTGAAGATTATACCATACTCTCAATTCTGGTTGATAGTGGGCTGAATCTTTATCAACGAGACGAAAAGGGACTCCTCATTTCAGCTGTGCTCGAAGGGCGAACACAAGTCGTTAAAGCATTGTTAAGACGAAAAGACTTTCCGATCAACAACCGAGACGGGGATGGAATGACGGCATTGAACCACGCTACGGTGCGTGGCGATGAGGAAATGGTGAGATTACTTCTCTCTCACGAAGACATCGACGTCAATAAGTCCAACGATGCAGGCTGGACGCCTTTCAAGCATGCAGTGTTCAATGGACACAAGGAGATAGCAAAGATCTTGGTGGACCATGGCGCAAATGTAGCTCGTCTGCCTTCTCGGCACCAAATATCAACGCGTGGAATGCTCTGATGGCTCCAAACAGCTTTGGGAGGAAAGAGATGGTGAAGCTTCTCTCCAGGCGACACGATCTCGACAAGACCTTCGGAGGACAGTCGGAGCAGACTGCGGTGCACACTGCTGCAAATGTTACGGATAAGAAATGCATGAAGATGTTGCCGGAACGGGAGATGCCAATGGCGCTACGCTGTTGCAGCCTGCCCTCATGTACAGCAACGACAAGGTTCATCAGATGTGGAAGTGTTACAACAGGAGGTTGGGCGTCGGACTGGAGATTCGATCAGAGACGATAGAAAGAGTCACAGTGATTTACGACACTTTGAGTCCGTCACTTTCCGATTTGCGTATACTTCTCTACGGGGAATGGATGGGAGTCCAAGGTTCACGGTGAATGAGGCATGCATTATTAGTTCTGGGAGAAACAGCAGACGCCACTCGCATGAAGTAGCTAGCAAACAAGTGCGTGGAAGGCTCCTGCGCTCTCAGCCGTCCGAATGCCATGCCTCCATCGAACTGAATGGTACTTTTCAAGATGTCACCGACGCCGGGTGGGCGCCTTGTGAAGGGTCTTTTCCAGTGACGGCGCCTCCATGTCGTCAAGCTCAAGAATCGGAAGGGGTTTTGATAGGTCTGGTGTGTATGAAGTCGGTCGGAAATGCTTGATTGGCTTGACCAGCTGGCCGTCTTTTAGGGAGACGGTGGACTTTGTGACGGTTCTTCTTGCCCTCACTATATCTTCCCACATCTCCTTGACGAATTTGAAGTTGACCGACAAGGGGTCGAAGAACTCGGCCAATAGCTGCCAGACAGTGTCGAGATGCTGGATGTCCGGGTAGAGCCAGACAATCTGCTGCACGAACCACCATCTTTCGGGTTGGTTTCGAGATGCAAGGGAACCCGCCAACAGAACATTGAAGAGTGTGGTGTGACAGATGGAACACATTGTTGGGAGATCCATGTTTGAGAGGCGGTACTGCAGTTCGAGCAGGTTGGAGCGAACGATGAGCGCAGAGGTGTTGAAGCTGATTGCATTCAGATACATCCAGAAGAACAGGGCAATCTGATAACACCGTTGCATCTCGAGATGCTCTGGCTCGCCCAGTAACCGGCTGCTATCGGGGTCCATGCGCGAAATCGCCGTCGCACTATCCGGTAGGAGGCTGGAGCTGGGACTTTCGGGGCGCCAGGCCAACATGCGGCCCGCCAGATGCGCTCGGTGGGAATACCACTCTCGGTCGGATTTCCAGAACTGCCTGTCAATCTCGATGATTTCTGTTCGGCAGCCTTGGGTTTTGGGCTGCGCCTTGCGAACGACAACGACTGAGCGGCTATGGAGGAATGCGCCGATGATGTTGATTTTGGATCTGGCGTGCACAATCAGCGAACTGCGTTACAGGGATAAAGATGCATTACTCACACAGCCAATTCGGTTTCCAAAGAAGCTCCATCGGTAGCGAGGAGCAAGGACATGCGTTTAAGCGCCTGGAGATGCATTCTGCCGCTTTCACCATCGGCCAGTAACACCTAGACCTGTCAGGTCATGTCGACACTACAAAACGCCAGGCTTGCTTCATCTTGCCCACTCACCGACAGCCGATACAGGAAAAGGATAGCCTGATAGCATGAGTCATCGACGACCTGCTTCGGGTCACGCAGGACGGCATTTAGCTCGGCGAGACACCTCGTATGCAGACGCAGCCATGGCGGTATCTGCCATGGCGAGTTCTGACCGTTGTCGGTAGGTGGAGGAAGCACCACACCAGGGCCCCTGAGAATAGAACCATGGATGTTAGTCTTGGTGGATGGATGGGCAACGGGGGAGCTTACCCTCTGAGCATTCCGGAGAGAAACACAGAAGCATATGTGGCCACGGCATAGGTTAGACAGGGCGAAGCCTGGATCTGGGACAAGTTGTCGAGCCACTTCCACGACTGCAGCAGATGAGTCGCGAACGGCCTGATGATCCAAAAATAAAAATAGAGGTTGGCTTTGATTTCAGCATCGTAGCTCAAGGCAGTCGAAGGGGTGAAGACGTCGAAGAATTGCGATCCCAGCAAGGTCAAGGGCGAGGCGGACCACTGTTCGTATTCTCTGAGGGCGCGCTCCCAGGGTTTGATGGCCAAGTAGGGCTTCTGCGAGGTGGCTGTATAGCCTGCTGCCGTGGACACAAGAGCATTATTTTCGTCAGCGGTAGTTCCCTCTTTGTAGTCCTGCACCGTCTCGTCGTCGTTGGTTGGGAGTGCCAGAGGCGTCTTGGTATAGTTGGCCGTGGACAGTCTCTGCAGGTAGGACGATGTGCCGGTCAAGATGGCCTTGGTGGTCGAGTCGAGCGCGAGGTCCTGGTGGTTTGCCTTGTTCCAGTATCGGTAACGCGACGAGATGTGCGACGTCTTTGCCGACTTGACGGCTTTGGTGGTCCGCGAGGGGTTCTTCGCGTCGCCCACGATGAACATTAGCGGAGGAGGTTTTCGAGGTTGGCTCATGGTGCGGCGCGAGGCTTTTTCGAACGGAGAGGAACCAACGGATGCATTGACGGGTGTTTGGAAGGTCTCTCGTGAGTGGTGGTGGTAGTGATGGTGGTCGAGAAGGAAGTTCTGAGAGCCATGAATCAATCACCCCGCCATGTTGACTCGCTCATGGCTTTAACTGTGGTTGATGTTGTTGTATCTGCACTCAACAAGCTGCTTTCTTTTCTTTTCTTCCCATCCCAACCGAAATTTTCTCCTGGAACTCGACTTCTCACGAACAAAATCTCATTCTTTGCCAAGTCTCCAGCTCTGATATTCCATCGGCCTTGACGAAGGCCGTGCCGAAAACCCTCTTTAGCGAGGTCGCCGTCATCGAGCACGAGGAGAAAACGGCCCCCACGGGCTGGCGCCAACCCCTCCAGGGACCAGCCGCACATGCGATTACTCAGACTCGCACTCGCTAAAGAGGTGGGCTGGCTGCTGGGCTGATTATAATTGGGTCCGGTGAGCCTCGGGATGGAACAAAAGAGCGGGATGGAGTTCTAGGCCGTGGCATCAACGCTTTTGTCGTCTTTCTATTCGTACCGTCGAAGCCGCGTCGCACAATCGAGATGTAGCTGCGTCTGCTGGTTATCGCGACCTTCACACATGGCTTGACAACCAGAAATCCCCTCGAGGCGCGTCGAAATGCCCTCCTCTTCAGCTGTATATAAAAATGGCCACATCCGGCTTTCCATGAGCTTGATCTGCTAGACAGGGTGACGGGTCATGGCGGCTGGCGACTCTTCCAAGCCTGCCCTTGACAGTGATGTCTGCACGGTCGAAGTACCCTCGCTCAAAGTCCTGTCCACCACCAAGAAGGCCGGCTCGTCGATCTGCGGATCTATGCGCAAGTATCTCTGGGCGGTGATCTGGTGCGTCTACATGCTATGGTGCGTTCTAGCCAACAACTACGCAAAGACGGCAGGGCAATCAGTTCTTGGAATCCCTCAATTTCGGAAAGACTTTGGCAGTGCTTATCATGGTAACTATGTCTTGTTGGCCAAGTGGCAGTCGGCCTACTACGGCGCTCCTCAGGCAGCGTAAGACATGGCCCCCCTAGACTTGCTCGCATATTCCCTGTCGGTGAACGGGGAACTCGGGCTGATTTTTTTTTATGGCAGCTCTGTGATGGGCGCATTGAGTGCTGCGTGGCTCGCCGACAAGGCCGGTCGGAGGTTTGCACTTGGCTGCATCTTTGCCGTCAGACTGACATCGGTCACGCTGGAGTTCATCGCGACCACCAACAATATCTTCTTTGCAGGACGTTTCCTAGGGGGCTTCTCCACGGGCGGGACCAACTCTCTGTGCATGGCCTATGTCGGAGAAATCACGCCACTGGCACTCCGCGGAGTGCTCACGGCTGCAGTCCCCATCTCTCTCATCCTCGGGTCGTTACTGTCCGCTCTTGTGGTCAATTTCACCGGCAACCAGTCCACTCGTTGGGCTTATCGGATTGCTTTCGTGGCTGGCTATGGTTTTATGGCCATTGCGGTGGCTGTGCTTCCATTCATGCCAGAATCGCCATGGTGGCTCGTCAGCCATGGCAGGGACTCAAGGGCTCTCAAAGCTCTCAAAAAGACTGGTTATTCTACCGATGGTGAAGCCGAGCTCAAACTAACCGAGATCAAGAGAGTGCTGGCCAAGACCAAGGAGGAAACGTCCGGGGCGACGTACACGGAATGCTTTCGACGGTCCAACTTGCGTCGAACCGTCATCGCTGCCATGCCGCTGACCATCCAGACTTTCTCTGGGGTTGCCTTTGTCGGGTCCTACGCTACATACTACCAACAACTTGCAGGATACAGCACTGCGGCAAGTTTTCGTCTGTTTATTGTCCAACAGGTTTTGTCGGGTGCCGGAAATATTTGCTCATGGTTCCTGGTAGACAGAGTGGGACGGCGGCCTCTGACACTCTGGGGTATGGTCATGTTGACGCTGATTCTTTTGATTACTGGAGGTATGTATACCACCTTCCTTGCCGCATCTTGTTGGGCTGGATGCCATCTTTGATGGTTCGTGCCGCGCGAATTGGAGATTTAAGAAGACCCTTCGCTAACAGGGTTGGCGGTGATGTCAGGCCTTGCTGTCTCGGGTACACCGCCCGCCATCAAAGGGACGATCGCACTTATCCAACTCTTCGCCTTTGTCTACAATGCCACCATTGGCGCCACCGCCTTTACCATCCTCACCGAGATCCCCACCGCTCGCCTCCGGGCCAAGACGGCGTCTATATCGGTTGGACTGCAGAGCGCTCTCTTTGTAAGTGCAGCCTTATATGATTGGCAACTGGCTCGACTTCTTCTTCCCTTTCCCTCCTCATTTGTCCCCAAAGGAAGGTCAGCCAGGTGACATCTATCTATGTATAACACGGCTGACTGAACCTACACAGACCATGTGGGGATTCGTGCTACCCTACCTCTTCAACCCGGACAAGGCCAACCTGGGCGCCAAGGTGACGTTCATCTTCGGCGCGCTGTCCGTGCTCTCCATCGTGTATCTGTGGCTGTGCCTGCCCGAGTCGGCGGGTTTGAGTTACGAGCGTCTGGACGAGCTGTTCATCGCACGGGTGAAGGCGAAAGGCTTCAAAGACCTGGGAGGTCGTCGAGGGGAGGAGGAATCAACCATGCAGAGCGGCGGGGACTGGAGGGATACAAAGCACGCCGCGGGCGTGGATGGGGGAGTGGACGTGGGTATGGGACCTGGGAAGGTGAATGAGAAGGCTCACATGGCCGTCTAACAGCGATGATGGACAAGACATGCACTGTGCCAGTCAGTGAGTGCCAATGCCGATGTCGGCAGTGGTGCCTCTCTCACCACGTATACCGAGCGCTCCCAGGACTAAAGACAGCAAGCCCTTGTGAGAAATGATGAGCCCAGCCCCCACCCACACATACACACAATCTGCTCACTGCTCACCCCGAGAGTCCTGGGCTCAGCACGAGATCTCTTGGCTCATGGGCATATTCCGGGTGTACTTTATCAGTAGTCGGGGACACACAGCGAGAGTAACACAGAGAGGGAGAGTGAGGAGAGACACAAGGTCCTAGCGATGACAATAGTACCGCCGACGATTCTTGACTGTCAAACTCCGTCTTACTTACTTAGCTACATACCTGCCTGCCTGGGCACCTGCCTCCCTATCTACCGTACGAGTACGAGTACTCGTATCATGCAATGCGTTTAGCATCATCATCATAGTAAACCCGTTCGCCGTTCGCCGTTCCCCGTTCCTTGACCGAAACCATCGACCTCCGGATTTTCAGATCCCTCGGTCGACCTCCCCACACGCACACATATACTCGGTACACACCGACCGATGACGGATGATGGAGGCAGGATCCAACAAAGTCCGGGCGGCACGGCAAGCAATTACCGTATGGGGAAGGAGGTGGATATTTTCGTTTCCGTGTTTTGAGTCATGCCCACACACACACACACACACACACTCAGCCACAAGAGGTTACATACGGAATGAGAATCAACGTAAAGTATGCAGGAAATGGAGAGGGAAGGGATATAGGAATAGGACAAGGGGGTGAAGGACAAGGTAGTTTAGTTTTTCGGATTGGGGGGGAGTCAACGGCAAGAAAAGCTTAGAGTTAAAACACACACACACACACACACACACACACATATATGCACACTGTGCGGTGTGTGTCTGTCTGTCTGTATACGTCAAAGAAAGAAAAAAACACACATGGAAAATATCTTGCTTGGATACACCGAATTAAAAAATATAAGAGCGAGCGAGTGCTGTTTTTCCCAAGTTTTCGTGACCCGTGTCCTTCGTAGTCCTTCCTTCGTAATGAATCCCTCGTTGGACCAAACATACCTAGCGAGAGAGATGACTCGATCCCAGTTCACGTATGGCAAATACAAATGCAAAGACTCCATCGACGCCGACGCCGCCGCCGCCGCCAATCCTCATGCCTCGCGCAATGCCAATTTGCAGTCGTGAAAATTAAAAACAATCGGTGTTGAAAGGAACGTTCGTGCGTGTGTCGTTGTGTTTTCTGGCCCAAGAGAAAGGCGTCTAGGACGACGGAAACACCTTCTTCAACAAACTCTCCTTCTTGCCGCCTTCCTTGCCGACGGCCTTTCGTGCCAGCTTGGTCCCCTTGGAGGATGCCAGTGTCCTCGTCGGCGGTGGCGCGAACTCGGTCTGCAGATTCAACGTCCCGCGTCCGCCGCCGGCGCCGCCGCGCAGCTTGGCCTGTCTCGCTTGAAACGTCGGATCTGCCTCGCCACGACCCTGGCCCGTGCCAAACGGGTACGTCGACGTCGGGTCCTCGAGGGAGGTGTTCGTGTGCGTCAACGTCAGCGGTGAAAAGGCCGTCGATGGGAATGATGAAGGTGGAGCGGTGGTCTCCGAGCGTCCATTCTGCTGCTGCTGCGAGTAGAGAAGGGGCACCCCTGTGGCGGGCGTGAGTGGCGAGTTGGAGTACGAGTCCCGGGTGAAGGTGCGGGCGTATTGGGTGACTGGCATTGAGCTGTGCAGTAAGGGAGACACGGGATCGTGAGCAGCTGCAGTGCTCTGTGCATCGACATTCTCAGCCGGGTAATTCTGCTGTGGTGGCGATTGTGATTGCTGTCGGCCCGGCTGTGTCGCGTTCTGCAGGAAGTTGTGGTATGCTTGGTGCTGCTGCGAGTTGAAGTCGAACGCGAACGTCGCCATTTCACTGCTGCCCTCTCTATGCGCTTCTTCGTCGTGACTGCTGAAGGACGACGGCGATCCTTTCCCTTTACCTGCCGTCACGGTGATCGTCGACGCGCTGTCGATTCCTTTGCCCTTCATGGCCTGTTTTGCTTGGTCCCGCCACCTCCGTCGCTGCATCCACTTCCTGAACAGCCAGAAGATGGCAAACGAGAGCCCGATGCCGCCGATGACGCCACCCAAAATAGCCCCTGTCAGACCAGACGCGGCGAAACCGGAGACACTGGTCTGTTCAGCGGCGACTGGAAGCGTGTCAGGACACAGCGTGCGCGTGAATATGTACGGACCGTGTGGCCGGGCATTCGCGAGGTGGAATGTAGGTGGAGAGGAGTCGTAGTTGGCGATGAAATAGAGTTGCGAGAGGAAGGCGGTGCCGAAGAAGCGGAGGGTCGTGTTGGTCGTTTGATCCGACACTGTGCCCGTGGAGATTGGGGAGAGGTTGGACACGTTCTTGAGCCAGGCGGCGTCGTATTCGACGCTCAGTCCCGATTTCAGGGTGATGGTGATACTCGAATCGAAATCGTCTGGGAGACGGAAGACGTCGAGGGCGTCGTCCGACGGCGTCGCACCTGTTTCCTGGGAGAATTTCTGCGTCACGTCGCTGGGGAGGCTGATGTGGTATTGCGATGTGGTCAGGTGGGCGTCGAAACTCTCGGTGAGGAGGTCGGTCTTGGTCCCGTCGGAAGAGGTCAATGTCATCTGCTCGACAGAAACCACAAAGGGACTGTGCTGTGCTTCTGGTCGAGCGGGACTTATAGTGAAATTGTGCACGTCGCCCTCGAAGCGACCCGAATCATACCCACCGAGGGTCAGAGAGCCGTTGATGGCGCCGTTGGCTTGTTCGTACGAGGTGCCCATGTACAGTGCAAAAGACCGTGAAGAGATGAGTTGGAGATCGTAGAGATGGTTCAGCAGCGTGCTTTTCGGTCCCAGGCCAAGCAGACCTGCGGGACCAAACCATGGAGACGTGCTCGCCGAGTAATTCGACAAAATGGTGACGGGGAAATCTGGAATTCGAGTGATGTTTGGCGGAGAAGGGTCGTAGTAGTGTGTGAAGAGGTTGAATGTGTCGAATGCGGTTTGGAGGATACTAGCGGGGATCGAGCCGTAGCTATCGAGTGACTGGTATGACGAGGCAGAGGAGTAGCTGCAAGTCGTTGGTTAGCATTTAGAACGATGCGGTCAAGGACGCTGGCACTGACTTCTGGGACAGGTCTGGTGAATAGAACCCGTGGGCGTGATTTAGACAGTCTCCGAAAGGACTGTTTGTACAGTAGTCAAGGCTGGCCACTGTTGTTTCGTTGTTTGCGAACGACGGCCAGTGTGACATGTTCTGCGATACGGGGAAGCCAGCCCCCGTAAACAGCCCATATTGCTCGTTGACCCCACCATCGACTGCTCTGACGTGAAAGTCGACGTAAATGGGGACAATAGAACAGTTGTTTTGTGCGGCAACGACGGTCACGAAGAGAACTAGAGCTTGGATAACCCCAGCCATGATCTGAAACACGGACAGAAATGATACTGGACGACCAGGCAGTATAGGTCCAACAGTCACTGACCACCAGCTCTGGCAAAGGCTAATGAGCAGCACAAGGGCAAATGCAAAAACAAAACAGAGAAAAAAACAACAGCAAGAGATGACCGAGAACCACTTACGAACAGAAAGAAATGATAGAGATGAGATGCGGCGGTACAAGAGAAATATCCATGGCCATACAGTTTGCAGACACCTCAAGACTTGCCGTGGTCAGCCTGGCCGGCTTGAGCATTTGCAAGCAAAAACTGAAACGGGCTGGGGGAGGACGGAGGGGTTACAATAGACGCCGTACTGGAGAAAGCCGCCCGTTGATGCAAGGCGGCTGTCATTTTTGTCATTCTCTGCAGTAGACCGCGTCTTGGGGTAGCCTGGAGAGAATTCATGCGGTAACTGTGGAAGAGATCGGGATCAGGGTCGACCGATGGTGAGGCCTGACGCCGAGAGGTCAAGATGAGGTTGCAAGAAATTTCCATTTTTAGGAGAAGCCAATCCAGCCTGGCGGCTGCCGAGACCCAATCGGAGCGCATCTTGGCATCTCACCGATCAAGGGCGGAATTTTAACCAATGGGAATAGAGGAATGGATGGGGCGGGTCTGGGCGCCCAACGCTGTATAGCCACAATTCTGGCCCGGCAAATGGCCACTCACAGATCCGAGACGGCTGCTTTCAAGGGTTAGCCATGTCCAAAAGTCGTACGCAAATTCCTGCTTGGTTCTAATATCCTAAACAGCTGTCCCAAAATGTCAAAACCTGGAAGACCCGGCACGAGGCATGCTCTCTGTCCAATCAAGATACCTGACCGGGATCACCTTTCCAGCAGGCACAAAATAGCTGTGCCAAGCAGGCGAACGACACATTGTTTGATCCATCCTTAGGTTTTTGGCTTCTTTGTTATCAATTTGTTCGGCAGAGTATTGGCGGTTGTTGAAGTCACCGCTTGCGTTATTCCAGGTGCGGAGGTGTTATTAGTGGTGGTGGTGGTGGTGGTGGTGGTGGTGGTGCCATTATCCATTGTGTCTGCCTTCCTTTTCTTGCGGACGCCAGTCAGCACGTTGACCTGAGCTGATGACACGATACCCGGAGCTGTGGGCGGTGCCAAGACCGGCATAGCACGGCCACGTATTGGATGTCCGAATGAGGCCGCCCTTGATAGCTCCAGAGCTTTGTCTATCCAGCTTTTGGTGGCATGTGCAGCGGGGACCTCATGAGCAAAGTCGGTCTGCAGAAGATGTTCCATTAATGCCTGATATTGGGTAGCGTCGATAAGAAGCTCGCCCTGCGTTGCCCCAGTCGTGGGCAACATTGACTCTTCCGCTACATCAGGCACAGGAGCACTATGATCAGCATTTTGTCCATTCTCTATAGCTTTAGATTCAGAGTCTGGATGAATAGGCGAAGAGGAAGGTGGCGAGTTCAGTTCTGCATTCATTTTGAGGATCGAGGCAGTTGACGATCCTATTCCCGTATTGCAAGTCTCGTGCTGCTGTTGAGAATTGGCAGGCGTAATCTGGCTCGGCTTAGTGGGTTGGCTGGCTAAATTCTCCGTGTGACCGGTCTTTCCGAGCTCGTTTAGTGTAGTATGTTCGGTCTGGCCACGAGAGAAGACCAGCCACACAAAACCTACTACTCGTCCAGCAGAACATTCTTGTCTATACGACATCGTCTCCCAGAATTGATCGAGGGTTTTCACACCCCGCCATTCTCCTTTTTCATCAACAAACTCGTCGAGGTCCTCAAGAAACCGTGCTTTGGGATCGTCTGGAAGTCTGGGAACCACATGCCTCGGAGGGACCAGAGGGTCCGGCACTAAAAGGCTGACTGGATATGAATCAACCCATTTTGGATCTGAAGAGGAATCCGTCTGGCTTGATGGTGGGAAAAAGGTCTTAACTCCGCTCTTGTCGTATCCTGGGACCAACAGATGTGCAGTAGCCACTACATCCTCCCTGGGTTGGCGCATAACTATGTCGAGCACTCGACACCACCACTTTATGAGCCGGCGATCGTCGAGAATGTGTTTTCCGGCATTCTCAGAACTCCCAGGGAAAAGATATTGGTTTTGCGAGCGAGCAAAAAGTGACACGACCACTCTTGGACTGGTCAGACGAGGTTCAAGTAAGAACTGAATAAAGGTGGAAGTGACGGTGGAAATAGCAGATGGATAGTTCTTTGGTTGGTTGAGGCGGGAAGTGAAGCCTGAAGAGTCGGCTTTTGAGACAAATATTGTCACGAGCGATTGAGTCGTAAAGACCAAAACCTCGACCGCGTAAGCTAAAATCTCCTTGTCTTCGTTCTGAGACGAGACTGCAAGGAAGTGTGACTCGCAGAAAGTGGCGTCTTCATCATGGCCCTTTAAAGGCGCGAACAAGGCGGGCGCTCGTGTGGGCGGCGTTGACAAGTGGTATACCCGAAGCTCCAGACCAACAGGAAGGGCGGCAGAAAGACGCGACGGGAGGGACGACTTTTCTGACATATCTGTTGTCTGTCTAGCTGCATTGGTACATGATGAGGCGCGAATCGAAGCTTTGAAAAATGAAAGAAGAAGCTGGAAATTTGTCAATGAGGGACAAAGTCGGGTCGTTGACATGAAGCCGGTGAACGATTGAGGGAAAGGGGGAGACCGGGGGAAAAGGGAGGTTGACCGGAGTGGCCAGATTTTGGCCCAAATTGGGATTAGTGCCTTTTATCCACCAATGGGAACGCGATTGTCTCCAGTAGCTTGAAGCCTAAAGTGTCAGCCTCACTGGCCGCTCCAACAGCTTCCCCTCGTCGCTACACCCCCCGGGCCCAGATTTTGCCTTCTCCGGTTTTGTCACACAATACCTTCCAGCCTGATATATAAAAGGTCGAAGTCGCCTCAAGCTCTCAAAATCTCTCTGTCCATCTTTGTAAGTCGCGACGTTGTTCCCCCAGCATTTCGTCAATCCCATCCTGGTTTCGCGCCGAGACTTGAACTATGAATCAAAATGCCATGCACTATAGCGACAATGATATCAACGTGGCTGCAAAATCTACCCTTCACATGACACTTTGTCTCAGGGGTGCGACCGGTCTTGTTCCACAAGGAGACATGTCGTCTGCGTCACCGAGACCACTACCCAGCAGAGAAGCCTCGCATGACAGGCGGATCGAGACTCCCCGCAATCCTCCGAGTCCTGGTCCTGTCCATGAGAGTGGTTGGGGGAGATTGACATTTGCGCCACCCAGTCTCTCATTTTCCTACTGGGCTTCCATGCTTAGTGAGGAGGAATTTCCTACCTTCCTGTTTGGCCGACACTCTCAGGACCATATCAACTCAAAGATTCCGAAGGTTGTGGCGAACAAAAGCCCGATTCCTGAGCATTGGGCATGGGGTGGGTCTGCCACAGGTCTATCCGAAGAGGAATCTGAACCAGAATATGACTCGGCAACAAAGATGGATTCCAACCAGCACCTGAATTGGAGCACAGCCACCCATATTCAGCACTCGACACCGCAAGAGGCAAGAAATCCTGCTCATTTGGAAATCAAGAGGTTAACTCGCTGTCTGGAGGAGAGTAGCAAATGATTTTCGATGGAGGCAAGAAACCTGGAACGCATAGACGCCAAACAAATGAGGTGAAATGCCTGTCTCGACTCTACCTCCACATCGACGGATGACAATGCATGTCAACAAAGTCGAAGTCGGTGGATCAGTTCTTCATTAGAGACACGCAGGGTGATTGACGTGGCATGTATCTCTCGTTGCATCGTACACGTAGGTGAGACTCCACGGAGGTCACCCTCTGGCTTTTTGTGGCTTTCTCTGCCGAATGGTTTGGGGTAGAAATGCCTTTGGCCTGAAATTTGGTTCTGAAATTTGTGTTTCCGGCAAACCTTCCCTACATATTGTCCACTAAAGTCCGAAGAGAGAACTTTCTCGCCCTTGCGATTGTCCTCGATCTGCCCACTTTTTTGCGACTGCGTGAACACTGCTCCAAGCTGTCTTCACCCGATACCGGTGCATACCTGACAAAACTCGTCGCGCACCGTCGCCCATACTGTCATATCAACCCAGAGATCCTCATCCCGGTCCTCGGGCTGCTGTACCGTAGCCTCAGTGTTGATGCCCCGCGATACAAGAGTTACATGAGTATACCTGCGTTCTGCGGCCAAGTCGTGTAACAGACCAACATGCTGTAGCTGACCTCCAGGCCATTCGCGCTCTCCTACTTTCCTTGCTAATGTATGATGTCTGCCACCAGTCCCGAGAAAGAAGAAACGCGCAAGGAGGACAGCCCTCACAGTGACGAAGATGGGGAAGTGAACAGCCATGATTCGTCGCCCGCAAAATCCTTAGATCAAGACCCAGAAGACCAACGTGCCACAGAGACACCTGAAGCCAACCCTCCTCTTCCTACCGAGGAAGATCCTCCTCCATTACCCGTCGAGGCACCTCCTACTCAACCTGTGGATGATGGCTGGGAACCGGTTTGGGACGACCACGCCCAGGCATTCTATTTCTTCAATCGATTTACAAAGGTAACCCAGTGGGAGAATCCACGAGTACCAGAGGCACCGAGTCAAGCCGGGCCACCAGGAGTTGGAAACCACGACAGAATAGGGGGATTACAAGGGCCTCCAGCAAATCGAGTCGGTGGATATGACCCTGCCATTCACGGTGATTATGACCCGAATGCCGATTACGCCAAAGCCTACGAAATCTCTCCGGTAGACATGGCGCCCGGCGCTGCTCCAGGCACGAATCCTGCCGACCCATACGCTGCCACAGGGACGTTTAATCGCTTCACAGGGAAATGGCAGCGAGCAGACCTCAACCCTGAAAAGTTCACCGATGAGCAAAAAAGTCGGCGGCAGATGAATGCCTTCTTCGATGTGGATGCTGCCGCCAATAGTCATGATGGCAGAAGCCTGAGAGCCGAGAGGGCAAATAAGAAATTGAGCAAGGCCGAGATAAAAGCGTTCAAGGAGAAGCGGAGGGAGAAGAAGGAGGAGAAACGGCGCGCATGGTTAAGAGATTGACGCACCCATCATGGCCGAAGAGCAGCAACACAGGCCATAGATTTGTTATATTTCTACAGAGTAGATTATGTCTTTGATGATTTTGGTGGTGTTACAACATGGCGATGTCGCGGTCTTTAGAAGCAGAAGCGGAAATTTCGGGACTCGAGACTACTTCCTTGGACGAAATCAACCCACTAAATCAATTTCTCGCTGTAGTGTATCGATCGTGCAGTTCACTAGACCACACTCTCTTCTTCTCTCTCCATTCAGTCACTCGTTGCGTCCGACATGCTACACTCATGCTCAAAGATCATATCGCGGTGATTTGCATCGCGTGGTACATTTTCATAGCCTGCGTCTGCGCCATTGGCTACATTTGTCTGTGCGTCTTGCCCGCCCTCTTTTGTTCCCAGGGCAAAAATGGCACCCCCGGCCCACCAAGCTCCCAAAATTTGAGATTGATCGCTAATGTACTAGGTACGTAGATTTCTCTACTATCGCCAGACGCCTTCACAGGGCGCCGTCCTCGCAGACGAGTCGGCAAAGCACCATGTCCCCCATGTCACGGTGATTCGACCCTGCAAGGGCCTTGAACCCTACCTGTACGAATGTCTCGCGTCGACGTTCCGACAAGACTACCCCCGGGACAAGATAGCGGTGCACTTTTGTGTCTCGTCGCGAAATGACCCGGCGTACGACATCATCGAGAGGGTCGTGGGCGACCACCCGGCACACAATGCGCGCATCTTCATCGAGGAGGAAGACGACGGACTCGCCAACGGAGACGAGGAGGAGAGCTACTACCGCAGGTCTCTAGGGCCCAACCCGAAGATACGGAACATGAGCAAAGCATACCGCGATGCAGGCGAGCGGGATCTCATATGGATCCTGGACTGTAATGTCTGGGTGGGCCGGGGTGTTTGTGCGCGCATGGTTGACAGGTTATGCGGTTTCACGACTGAAGGACACCCACCACCAACACCATACAAATTGGTTCATCATCTCCCCATATCAGTCGATGTGGATCTGCGCACCGACCAGGCTGAGGGACGGGTGGCAGATTCTGCGTTTCGGAGTAACAGTCCTTCCACACCACCCCAGCCCGCCAACATACTCACTACCGCTTCTCTGTCTTGGCTAGATCAACTCAAGCGGAGTGCTGGCGGCCGTGTCGAAGAGCTCTTCCTCTCCTCCTCGCATGCAAAGATGTACGTTGCCATCAACGCCGTGGCCGTGGCTCCTTGCATCCTGGGAAAATCTACCATGTTCCGACGAGTGCACCTGGACCATCTCACCGCCCAAAAAGCCCTCGAGGACGCCAGAAACACGAGGAGTAGCGGCGCGAAGGATCATGACGAAGAGAGCAGGGGCCCTCATCATACCCGGATCGGCATCGACTATTTCTCCCACAACATCTGCGAAGACCATCTCATCGGCGACCTGCTGTGGAAATCCCCCGTGCCAGCGGTCCCTGACCTTCCGAAGAAGATGCGAAATCACGGGCTAGTCTACGGCGACCTGGCGATCCAACCCATCAACTCCATGTCGCTGCAATCTTACATATCGCGACGAGTCCGGTGGCTGAGGGTGAGGAAGTTCACGGTGCCTGTGGCAACGTTAGTCGAGCCTGGCACAGAGAGTTTTCTCTGTTCGCTGATGGGCGCCTGGGGCTTGACTACCTTTAGCGGGACAAAGAGCTGGGCTGGGGAGTCGTGGGGGCGGTTCTGGATGTGGTGGTGCGTGAGCATCCTCTGCTGGCTGGCGGTGGATTGGACCGTGTATTTGTTACTGCATTCGGGCCGAACCATTGAGACGTCTACGCCACAACCCTCATCCTCACCCTCACCCTCACCCTCACCGAACTCCTCGAACACAAACTCCTCAGCCGCAGCACTTGAAACTTCAGAAGACGGACGATTCGAACTCCCCGTGTTCGCCCGACCTCTTTCCGCCACCGTGCGCTCACGGCGAAGCTTCTCGGCCTGGCTCCTCGCCTGGCTGGGGCGGGAGTCTCTCGCTTTCCCCATCTGGGCCTGGGCAATCTGGGGCGGCACGACCGTGACCTGGCGCGACCGGCGGTTCTGGGTCGGGTTTGATATGAGAGTGCACGAGATCCGCGATGCGAAGAGAGGGAGCAGCAGTGGCAAGGATAAGCACCGGGACGCCAGTCTAATGGAGAAGAGTGATGGACACATGACGAGGATAAACGAGAACGTGAATGCGAATGGGAATGCCAAGGCGACGAATGTCAACGGGACTTTGAGGGAACGCAGAGACCCAAACCGTATAGTGAGGGAGCAATTACAAAAATGAGTCAATGAGTCAATGCCATCCTGCCCACGGTGTCCAGAACATTGTGGACATGGTACGAGGTCGACGATGAGGTATGTAGAAGGACTAGATGACACAATAACTGTGGAAATGAACATCGCAGACCTGAAGACAGAAACCGCATCTCATACTATGCTTCGGAGCCGTTACAGCCAGGCTACAGCTAGGATGCTACAGGTATGCCACACTATCCTCTGGGCATAAAGTCTGCCACAATGCTGGAATTGGAGACCGGCGTCCCCATTTATCCCTTTCATCCTTTCTTTCGTCATTTATCTTTTTGACCTACATGTATGTCTCGTATATACCTCACACTCTGTGCTCTTTTACCGTGTCTCGAGTCCCATATATCGTCATTCAGTACGTCTTATGCCCGAGGTGCAAAGAGGTTTCCTGCCCAATTTTGCCTCGAGGCTTCTTACCATATGGAGGTGGTAACAATATACAACACTGTTTTTACATTTTGGATGTTTTGTTGCGAGAATCATCTTCCGCTGGAAAGATGATTCGCTCAGATATACTATTCTGGAATGTCACCTCTTCAGCGGGAAGCGGGAGACACTTTGGTTCCAGTACACATTAGGAAAGGGAGTCCAAGTCCGAGTTCATCGCTTCGGAAGAAGGAATTCTGTGGAACTTGTGCAAGTATCCCATCCATGCGGCATTTTGGGGGCTGATGACCAAAGATGCTGTGATGGCATCAATGGCGTAAATATGAGGGCTGACAGCTGGATCGATCCGGCGGATGGGCAGACATTCGCTGTTTCTGTGTTGGGTGATACCAACTCTGACGAGAAGGAAGCTGAGCTGAGTTGACATCTCAACACTATAGTCCGTCTGAACTTGCGCCACGGTATGGTTGTGGGATTGTTGTCTGGCCTTGCGGTCGGTATTTTTTCTGATCATGCCCGGCAGGGAGAACATCTTCTGGCCGTCATTACGCTGGCGTCCGTTTGCATGTACAATTCAGCTTTCGAGGTTTGACCGTCGCCTGGAATCCATGAAGCTGGACAAGACGTACTAACGGCTGGTCGAATTGTTAGTTCAAGCATGAGAACATACAAGGAGCTCTTACCCATTGCGTGGTCGGTTCATGGTGACAGCAAGGCTCTGTGATCTTTCTGGTCACAACATCGGCGTGAGTTCCGTCTCCTGGCACCTTGTGGTATCTTAGCTCAAGAGTCCCATCTTTCTCTCGATCGACACTTTCGAGCTTGACATGCTGTACTCTCA